GAGGAGGAGATCGGAGAAAGGGAAGGAGGAGGAGGAGGAGGATGAGGAGGAGGCGAGCGGAGGAGGAAGAGGAGCTGAGCGGAGGACGGTGAGGAGGAGGAGGCTCCGAGCTGGCGGCGTGGCGGGTCGGACGGCCCCCTATCGGGCGGCCCGGCGGGCATGGGCGCCATCTTGAGCTCGACCATGAAGGTGGTTCACGAAATATTCACGTACAAGAGCAATGTTAGCCAGGGGCGGCCTAAGCCCTGCAGGCCGCTCGCTGGACGAGCGTGTTTTGCTGATCTTTGAGGCAGCAGTCTGCTTTTGAGCACCAGCTTTGCCTCGGTCGCCTACCAATCGGGCAGGCTTGAAAAAACAATATAGTTAACTCAATGGTTTAACATGTTTTCATCTAATTCCTGACTGTTTCTGCCAGCTTTTTCCGACCCTCGTGTGCGAATGGTTTGTCATTGATAGGTTATGACCTCTGTGTACACATGTACAGGCATGCGTCCCGTACACTCCCCGTTCAACACCCAGTGCATCGAACATCATTGGCTTGCTGTTCACACGCGCGCTTCCCCTGGCAGCTGTGTCAGGCTTGGCGGCTCGCCATCCCTTCTCACAGGTGCATCCCATAATGAACGTACGGTGCGTGAGTGGCCATCGCTGATGTCTGGCGTGCGCGCAGGGGGCAGGACTGTGCTGGTATTCGGCGCAGGGCCCGTCGACTGTGCTGTGTATTGTAGTGGCCTTCGGCCAGTGCCGCCAATCCGGGGCGCTCCGACTGATGTGATCCTTCTTCGCCCTCGTCCCTCTTCTCTTTTTCCCTCCCCTCCTCTCACTCAGCATTTATCCAGTGGCCGTCGGCCTATCCCGCCACCCTGCGTGGGTGGTGGGTCAGAGGCCTCATGGATGCTGGTTGGGATCTCGTGGTTGGCTGGGACTTCTGGGGGCCTCTTGGGGCTTCTTGGGGGCCTCTTGGGCCTCTTGGGGCCACTAGAGGGGCTCTTGGGGGTCTCTTGGGAGCCTCTTGGGGCTTCTTGGGGGCCTCGTCTGAGGCCTCCTCGGAGCCTCTTGGTGCGGGAGGGGTGGTACTCGAGTTCGGAACCCCCCTCGGAGGCCACGATCCTTGTGAGGGGTGTCAAAAAACGCATCCGCCGGAAACGCGCACCCCCCCCCCACCCCCCCTTCCCCGGCAGAGCCACCCCGGCAACCCCCCCAGAGGCTGAGGCTCAGCCTCGAGGCTGTAGCTGAGACTCCTTGAAACTCACACGCCGGATCGGCGGACTTCCCCAAGGAGTGCTTGCACTGAAGGGGTCCTTAGGGTTTAGGGTTTAGGGTTTAGGGTTTAGGGTTTAGGGTTGGAAGTTGAAACATTTGGCGAAAGTTTCCCTCTGATTTTGGTAGCAGGCTGGGTTCCCGGGTTCCCGGTTCCGGGTTACTGGGTTGGGCCGATTTCGGTGGGTTCTGTGTTTCCGGTTTCCCGGGTTCCCGGTCGATCTTTTTATCGATCTCATGATCGATCTCATTATTCATCTCACTCAATCGATCTCACCATCGATCTCATCAAACCATCCATTGATTAGGGTTTGTCTCTGGTGTAATTGGTTCTTGGGCACGTTGCCGAGCGCTGTTGGCAATCAGTTTCAACGTGAGTGTTTTGCCATACGGGCACTTGTCTTGTATGATTTCCGCTCCATTCTCGCGGACGCATTCTCGCCGCAACGATGCGTTTGCCGCGACCGTTTGACATGCATGCAACACGGGCATTGCACAGCGGCCTTTTCTGTTTGATGTATTGGTTTCGGGTTTCTTCTGCAAGGTGTTTCTTTGTGGAGTGATTCAGTGAAGGCGTAATCAAGGGCACGTCTCCGGGGACACAAATTATCAAGGGGGATCCACCACACACGCCCTGGATGAGGTCGGTGTGCAGTTTCGAAACGGATTTACCTTCGCCCCATGCAGCTCTGGCCCTCGGAAAGGAGGTCATCGGCCCCCTCGGTCTAACCTCCTCGATCCTCGATCTAGCCTCCTCGATCCTCGGTCTCATGTCCTCGATCCTCGATCTCGTCTCCTCGATCACCTCCTCGAAATTCGATCCCCCTCGTGGGCCACCCCCCAGGTGATGATCCATTGCTCGGACGGCTGGGACCGCACCGCCCAGGTCGCCTCTCTGGCGATGCTCTGCCTGGACGCGCAGTACCGCACCCAGGCTCCCTGCGCGCGGGCCGTGTGGCTGCGGCACCTCCGCCGCCCCTGTCTGTCGGCCAGCGCCGCAGGCGACGGCCCCACAGTCGGCCCGCATTGGAAGGATGAGCGACTTTCCCGCAGAGGGCCTCCGAGGCGGGGACCGATATCCATAGCCGCCACCTGGGGGATCAGTCTTCGGCGGAGGCCTCGGCAGGCGGTGGATGAGGACATGCTCGGGCCCCGTGGGGGGGGGGGCGGGTGCGCGGGCACGCCGCCCGCCGCGGTCCCCGAGGAGCTCGATCCCCCTGGGCGGCGGCTGGACCCACGCCTCGCAGGGTACGCTGGGCTTCTTAATAAGCGTGGGGGGGTATCCCCCGACGGGGGTCAACCTCGCCTCGTCGTCGCGCCGCGACGGGGGTCGGAGCGCCTTCGGCGCGCGGTGGCTGCCCGCGACGGGGGTCGATGTGGGGCGGTCGGCGGGGTGACGCCCCCCCGACGTTTATTGAGAAGCTCGGAGTACCCTTGCATCCTTGCCCCTTCGGCCCTTCCTCAGCGACTTTCACTGGCCATCCTCGTTTGAAGAACATCCTCCCTCTCTAGATCACTAATTCTACTGCTCGCCACTTCTTTTGCATTATGCTCTATTGTTATCCTTTTTGGTACCCTGACGAGCTGACGACCTGTCAGGGGTTCAGTATGTTTGAAGCACTGGTCACCCTCCTGCAACACTGTGGCTGACAAGCCCGACCGTGAGGTTGAGGGGGAACCCTCAGCATCACTCCCTCCCACTCCTCTCGAAACGCCGAAACGCAGAAATGCAATTAAGAACCCCGCCGATAACCAAAGCTCAAGCAGGAGGAGAAGGACAGAGAGTGGTCTGGAGTCCGGAGGAGGGGGAGGGGGGAGGAGTCTGAGGAGCCCGGAGGGGGAGGAGCAGGAAGGGGAGGAGGAGGAGGAGGAGGAGGAGGAGGAGGAGGAGGAGGAGGAGGAGGAGGAGGACAGCTCCCCCCTGAGGCTTTTTGGGGAAGCCGGGATGAGGAGGCGGAGGAGGAGGAGGAGGAGGAGACTGAGGAGGGAGATGATCCAGGATCGATGAAGATCGAGGAGAAGGAACATGAGGAGGACGAGGAGGAGGAGGAGGAGGAGGAGGAGGAGGAGGACCGAAGAAGCGAATGGAGATAGAGGGGGTGGGGGGGGGGACGGCCCTCCAGGGATGGCCCCTCCCCGCCGCGCGGCGGCAAGAGGCGGGTTTCCTGCGGCTGATCCAGAAGGACCGCAGGCCGCAGGGGTCGTCCGCGGCCCGCGGAGGGGGAGGCCGCCGAGGAGCAGGACGAGGAGGCCGACGAGGAGGAGGCCTGCCGAGGGCGTGATCGGTGATGCTCGCGATGCTCACGGTGGGGGCCCATGCCAAGAGACACCCTGCTTCCCTCCAGGGTGCCCTGGCCTCTCGGGGTTCGATGGTTCTGCTGCGGAGAGCGCGACGTTCCCACACCAGAAATCCACGGACGTCCTGGGGTCTCAGGGTTCGTATTTTTTGTGGAGGGCTTCTTGTGCACCAGCCTCCCCTGCATGGAGGTGGGATGGTGGGGAGGATCAGAGAGTTTCGTGCGCTATGGCTCGTCGGCCTCACGAAGGCGTTCATGGTGACGCTCACGGAGTTTCTGGTGCACTCCCCCCGTCGTTGCCTGTCTGCCCACCTCTCATGCAAATCATCTCGTCGCCACAGCCGGTCACAGCAGGTGGCCTGGCCGATTCGTTTGATCAACCCCTCAGGGCCGACTGGCCCTCGGGGGAGGGGAGCACGTTAGACGAGCTTTGCGGCCATCAGGAAAGAGGAATAAGCACGAGGAGGAGGAGGAGGAGGAGGAGGAGGAGAAGTAGGCGGAGGAGGAGGAGGAGAAGGTGGAGTTTTTCAGTCAGAGGAGGAGGGCGAGGACAAGAAGGAGGAGAAGGAGAAGGAGGAGGAGGAGGGGGAGGAGGAGGAGGAGGAGGAGGAGGAGGAGGAGGAGGAGGAGGAGGAGGAGGAGGAGCAGCAGGACACGGACGAGATGGAGGAGGGCGATGAGGACGAGGGGGTCGAGAGGCAGTGTCGATGTGTCCGCGGTCCGGGCCCGCCTAGACCATGGGGTAGCAAACAGTGGCATGAGCAGAACAACTCGTAGGGCTAAGTCGGGCCTGTCCCTCAACAGGAGGAATCTGCAAAAATAGCCAACCAATAGTTAGGGGACGTCTTTTTAGTTTTGTTTCATCAATTTTGGTGTATTTTGTCTTGGCTATTTTTCATTCTTCGTCCAAAACCCCCCTGCAGGGGGACACGCCCGACCTAATGGTAGGTCCGCGCGGACCTCCGAGTTGTTCTGTTTTGCGGAAGGGCGTTGAGCAGTAGGGGGGCGATACCTTTGTGGGCCCTGGAAACGGCAGGGCCGTTATTCCACCGTTTCCAACAAACATGTCCCTTGAAAATGGAAACCGCAACAAAAACGGCGACCAGAAACGGCAAAAAAACGGCTCCAGGATTGAAACCAGAGCCGGAACCAGTCAAAAAACGGCGACGGAAGCGGTAAAACAACGGCGTCGGAACCGGTAAAAGAACGGCAAAACGGAACCCGTAAATAAACGGCATTACCGTTTCCCGGTTTCCCGGGCCCACTAAGGGCGATACATGCGAATGGGCACGGCGGGTGCACATCCCCCCCCCCGCCCCGGGTCGTCAAGGGCCCTGGACTTACGTCGGGCGTGTCCCCCTACAGAGGGATTTTCGACGAAAAATAAAACATACCCCAATAATAGTTAAAAAATTAGCAAAAGATAGTCTGGTGAATATTGTTTGCGTATTTTTTTTGATGTATATGTTTTTTGTTTTTCGTTGAGAATCCCCCTGTAGGGGGACAGGCCCGACGTAAGTCCAGGGCCCGCGGAGGGAGAGGGTCAGAGTGCCCCAATCGAAGCTCGAGTCCTCTGCGTTCGGGGAGCTCCCTGCCGCCATCCCGATGCGTGCAGGCCGTCGCGGACACTTCGCGGAGGAGTCCTCCGCCGGGAGCGTGAAGCGTCGCTTGCACCAGAAACTGACCCAGCTCTTCTTCCATTAAGGGTTAAGCTAAGCCAGGCCTGCCCCTCTTTAACGAGGAACTGTTCCAAAACAGTCAAACATAGTCTGGGGACATTTTTTGTACTTTTGGATATGTTTTATATATATATATATATATATATATATCAGTATTTTAACTTTTCGTCCCAAATCCGCCTGTAGGGGGACAGGCCCAACCTAAAGCAAGGGAGGAAAAGCCACCCGTTCCCGACAGGTGGTGTTTACTGGACTGCCCTGGGCGTTTGCGGAACAGCCCTGCCCTGTTCGATTCTTTCCGTGGGTGCGTTTAGTAAACGGTTTCGCGTGTCGGGGTGGTTCTCATGGGGGTGGATTTTGTTGCATTCGATTCCGATCCCCCAGAGGAGTGTCAGGGCCCCCGAATCGAAAAACACAGAAACGTCATAAGCATAAGCTGCTGGCGCTCCGCGCTGAGTTCTCGCACCGGCGCTGGAGCGCCCTGGCGGCGCCACCGACGCCGCCGCGGGCGCGCGTTCCGCGCACCAGGGGAGGGAGGGTCTGGCGCAGATCCAAGAAAGCCGCGCAGGACGTTGCCAGCCAGGACGTTGCCAACCAGTACTCTGAAAATCGCCGAGGAAGGAAAACCACCACAAATATAAACTGCTGGCGCTCCGCGCGGATTTCTTGGATCCGCACTCGCACTGGAGCTCCCTGGCGGCGCCTCGGGCGCTCCGCGCGCCCGGGAGGGGGGTCTGGCGCAGATCCAAGAAAGCCGCACAGGCCTCCAACAGTTTATGCTTAAGTCGGGCTTGTCCCTCTACAGGAGGAATGTTCAAATATAAGACAAAGTAGTCAGGGGACTACTTTTTTTTTTTACCAGTTTTGACTATGTTTGAACATGTTCGGGCTGTTTTTGGTTTTTCGTCAAAAAAACGCCTGAAGGAGGACACGCACGAGCTAAGTTTATGTTCGTGAAGTCCTTTCCTCTTCTGCCTAAACTAGGGCACCAATCTTCAAGAACCCCAGATCAAGGGCTAAAAAAACGCCCCTACCCTGGTTTGCGAGGCGCTGTGCGCTGAGCCTCCTGTGGGCTGACGGGGCAAACCCTGCGCATCGCGCGTGTCACGCGGCGTCCTGGCGGCTCTCTGGCCTCTGGGAGCCCCCCTATCCAAAGTTCGCACATCGTCCGCTCTGGCCGAACCGAAGAGCTTTACGTGGTATTGTAATGGGACCCCTAAGTGGCGTCGTGCAGCGGAAGTCTGTTGAATACAGTGCGTGTGGACGCGGGGGCTGTTGAGTACTCGGTGTTCTGTCTGGCGCGAGGGGTGCGGAACGGGGTTCGGGGAAGGGCGCGCCAGAGACCTCGAGCCACATAATGGTGATGCGGCTGGTGATGATGATGATGAGGTTTGAGAACGAGTGCTCACGAGAATCAAGAGTATGACGGGTATATGGATGCTTACAGACCACGAATTTGTAACCTAGGATCGGGTTATGATGTAACTTGCTTTAGTCTTGGCCACCAGAAATAATCCGTAAGGGCTTCGCCCCCTGCCGTCGGCCCCCTCTCTCTCGGAGAATGGGCCATGGAAGAGCTAAGTCATGAGGCCTTGGCGCTGTCGTGAAGCAGTATCGAAACTTCATGCGAAGCCGAGTCGCAATCAGCAAAACCAACTGATCACAAGAGGGGTTACCACACCTGGCGATTGGTAAGACGTGTATGGTTTAAGGGCTTGGTTACCACACCTTGCGATTAAAGGGCCGAGGGAGTTCTCGCAGTTCGGGTTACCACGCCTTGCGATGGATGTGCGTGATGGCACCGAATTTCAGAAATGTGGCAAATCCCCTATGTTTTTGGACCCTGACCCCGCGGATCTGCGTGAGGGGTGGCACCGAATTTCAGAAATGTGGCAAATCCCATGTGTTTTTGGACCCTGACCCCGCGGATCTGCGTGAGGGGTGGCACCGAATTTCAGAAATGTGGCAAATCCCCTGTGTTTTTGGACCCTGACCCCGCGGATCTGCGTGAGGGGTGGCACCGAATTTCAGAAATGTGGCAAATCCCATGTGTTTTTGGACCCTGACCCCGCGGATCTGCGTGAGGGGTGTCGATTTCGAGCTCCCCCAGCAATTCAGACAACGCGCCCAGGGGACGCTAAAAATCCCGTTTGGGCCTCCCCCCCCTCGCGCGGTCAATCAACTAGTTACAGTAACCAGCAAGAAGTCAACTAGTTACAGTAACCAGCAAGAAGCAGAACTGTAACACTGGAAACTACAAGCTACAACTGGTACAGGAAACTGCGAATCACGCGCCTCGCAGCCTGGTGGCCCCACAAGGGGGCCGGCGGATTTCGAGCACCAAGAAAGTGCCGAGACTTGAGGGCTTTCACGTGTCGGGTCACGGGAGGCGATCATGCTCGTTCGACATTGTTTCGTTTTTTTTTGGGTGCTCGGAATTATTTCTGGGATGTGGTCCTTAAGTACGATGGGAGCAACATAAGGTTGGGGCGTTTTTTCGGGACTTCGCAAAGGGGGGGGCACAGGGGGGCGGGTGAGTTCGGTCAGCTGGCGCATCAAACCTTAGAAAACCTATACAAAACGATGTCTCCGGCCGCCGCCGGAACCCGAGAGGTGTCGACAATCGGGGCGCGAGGAGGGCACAGTTTTTTTCGGAAATTCGACGCACCAGCGGATCGAACTCACCCCCCCCTCAGGGTCCCCCCCCCCCTTTTGGTGGACCCCGATCTTTGCATCCCTCAACCAGAGGGGATCTGCAAGGATCGGGCCGGACGAAAGGGGGGGGTTGGGAAAGGGGGGGTTACGAAATCTGCTGCATGCAGCTGGTTGCGGCCCCACCGAGGGGCCCGTTCCTCGATGCACGGCCGCCTCCCGGCGCCAGGAGGCGCCGGGAACATCAGCTATGCGTGAGCTGCCTCTCCCACCCCCCCTTTGCTATCCCCCCCCCTTTCGCCCGGTCCGAGAGCAGCCGCGAGGAACCGCCTCCGCCCTGGGGGCCGCAGCCCCCGGCCCCCGGCCGCCGGAAATGACCAGGATTTCTAGGAAAAACGCACCGACGCAATTCATCGTCGATCCCCATGGGAAGCTATGGGAAACTGTGGGAAGTGGGGGGGAGGACAACAGCCCCAGAAGGTGTAGGAAGAGATTCGGGAACTGGAACATATATACATTACCGGTTGCGGGCTGCTTTTCGATCCCAGGACTTCTCGAG